AGGTCGAAGTTGATCAATTTGATAAGGGAATTTACGGACGTCTTCGCGTATACAACAGATGAATTAACGGGGATCGAGGCCAGGGTGATCGAGCACAGACTTAATATTGATCTCAGTGTGAGACCAGTGAAGCAAAAGAGAAGGCATCACGTAGCAGAAATGGACAAAATCATCGAGCAGGAGGTCGACAAGCTGATGAACGCTGGGCACATCCGGAAGATTCAATTCCCCGAGTGGTTACCTAACACTATAATGGTGTCCAAAGCGGGAGGGAAATGGAGAATGTGCATTGATTTTCGTGACCTGAATAAGGCTTGCCCAAAAGATCTATACCCGCTACCAAGGATCGACCAGCTGGTAGACTCCACGGCGGGATGCGAATTGCTAAGCTTGATGGACGCCTCACAGGGGTATCATCAGATTCCCCTAGCGAAAGAAGATTGGAAAAGAGTGAGCTTCATAACCAGCAAAGGCACCTATTGCTATGTAGTCATGCCGTTTGGGCTGAAGAATGCGGGAGCCACCTATCAGCTACTGGTCGACCAAATTTTCAAGGATCAACTGGGGAGGAATATGGAGGTGTACGTGGATGACATGCTGGTGAAGAGTAAGATGGAGGCAGACCACGTGGGCGACTTAAGGGAGACTTTCCAAACACTGAGGAGATACGGCATGAAGCTTAACCCGGCTAAGTGCTCGTTTGGCGTGAAGGCAGGGAAGTTTTTGGGATACATGGTAACAAAACGGGGAATAGAGGTGAATCCCGAGAAAGTAAGAGCCGTGGTCGAAATGAAGCCACCAACCAGTGTGAAGGAAGTCCAAATATTAACTGGACGAATAGCAGGATTGAGCTGATTCATTTCCAAGGTGGCCGAAAAAAGCAGCCCTCTGTTCAAAACCCTGAAGAAGAGCTCGAAGTTTCAGTGGACAGAGGAAGCCCAAAAGGCCTTCGAGGAGCTGCAGAGGACGCTGGCTAATTTGCCTTTGTTGGCCAAGCCAGTCTATGGAGAGGAGCTTGTGCTCTACATATCGGTGGGCGAGAATGCTGTAAGCTCAGTGTTGGTCCGAGAAGAAGGAGTGGCGCAATTCCCAATATATT